CTGATTCCCCGGGGCACAGTGGCTCTGTGAGCTCTCCCCCTTAGGGCAACATGTGTTTATGCTAGATGACCTCAAGGAAATGGGGAAGCTCAGAATCAAAGATGCAGGTGGACCAGGCCCAGTAAGACATCCAGGGCCACAGGGCAGGGGGATGATGCAGACTCACCCCACCTGGACACTGAGACACTGACACTCAGGCCCGGAAGGACTCTGTCCTTCCCAACTCCCACAGCTCTGATTTAAACCAAACTGCACCCAACAGTGACTGGCAGCTTCCACCATGAACAAGGAAGCAGCACCTTAGACCAGAGTAAACTCCGAGGCAACTGAGGAAGCCCTTGCTAGGGGGCTGCACCCTGAGCGTGTACACGGGCCGTGGGGAGAGCAGCGGTGCGATGCGTGAGCTCCTGGGCTGCAGCGCATTCAAGGGCACAGCAAGACGCTCACAGCGCACCGCCAGGCCCTGCAAAGGGCCTAAGGCAGCATGCACGAATGCTCTTTGGAAAAGAGTGGATTCGCTGCCGCCTTAGGAGGTCCTCTGGGTGGAGCCCAGGTCCGACCCATCTGCGTTCAAAGCCCAAATACACTGTGACCCGCACAGCCTCCGGACCTGCTCAGTCTCCCCTGGCTTGTGAAGTGAGGCTGTCACCCCGTGTCTGCCTTGTGTGGCTGGTGGATGGTGAGCAACACGGTTCCTGACTCACAGAATGCGTTTCAGACTAGGAGTTTCATTATTAACTCTCAGAGCTATTTCCTTGTACTAGTGGAGGCCCGAGACTAGAGAGAAAGGCAGACATTAGGGAGAGGGAGCGGAGACGCTGGGGTGCAGACACTCACTGGAGCAGCCCCACTGCCCGTTTCCACAGTGACAGGATGGGCGGGGCTTCTCCATCTCAGCCGTCCCGCAGCCTGGGCTCCCAGAACCGCCTCCCCGGAAGCTGGGCTGGGCTGGCCAGAAGCCCCATCTGTGAGTTCCTTTGAAATTGTTGACCAACTTAAACACCTGCAGTGCACTGGGCACTGGCATTCTACTCAAGTGGCGAGAGATGTTGATTTTCCTTTTTGTCATTTGTTTATCTGCCTTCAGGGCAGAAGCAGGGAGAGGAAAATGAAGGAATGGACAACTTCTGCGGGGAGATGGGCGAGTTGGGTTAATGGATCTATTGAAACACTGGGCTTCAACGCTAACAGCAAGGTGGAGATTCAGACCAATCCAGAGGAGAAGAAACACTGCCCACTCGGAAGCCACTGGAAAGGTGGGGAATTAGCTACAAAAGCCAAACAGCTCACTGTTATTTTTCTGGATACTGATTTTTTTTTTTTCTTAAAAAGTTCTAATTTAAGTGGGGTGGGGAAGGTGAGAAAGGAGATCCCTAAAGCTACATTCTCATTCATTCTTTTTTTTCTCTCTCACTTCTTCCTTTTCTCATCAGTAAAGCACTGAACCAACATTAGTGTTTATGACATACACTTGTGTAGTGACACTGTGACATTATAACATCACAGTATATGGTCGTATGTTACAGAACTTCACGGGGCTTCATCCTTCATTGATGCAAGGCAGCCCTTAAGTCTAGGATTTATTTTTATTTTCCAATACTGGGGGTTGAACACAAGGTCTTTGTGTTGAGCCTCAGTCCCTTTTAATTTTTACTTTGAGACAGGGTCTTGCTATGTCACTAAGCCGCTTGCCTAGGCTGGGCCTAAACTTGTGGATCTTCCTGCCTCTGCCTCCCAGAGCGCTGGTGTTACAGACGGGTGCCACCATGCCCACCTTCTTCCTTTTTTAAGAAATATGTATTTTAATTAATGCCTATGAACTTTACAAAATGTCCTGTTTGTCAGCAATCATCCCCGCTGCCCTGCCTTCCACTCTTACCCCCTGCTCCTATTTTCTTCCTCTTGTCCACTAACAGTCTCCCTCCACCTGGATGCCCTCTTTTAGTCCTAGGGATTTCCTGAGTGACAAATGTATGCAGATGAGGTGCCTCAGGATGGACGTAGCCTTGCCCCAAAGACCAACTGTGTGGTAACGGCCTGGGGCCTTGATGCTGGAGGTGAGGGCTCTGGAGCGAGGGCCCTGTTGTGGGGGACTGTGATGTCAGGGTGGGTGCAAACTTCCTGTGCCGTTGCTGCTCTTCAAGACAGGGAGCCAGGGACGGCCAGCTCCACTTGCAGGGACACTGTGGCCCGTGGCGTCCCAGGCTCCCTCCCACAAGCAGCGCTAGCCTGGCCGCCCAGCCTGCTGCCCTCTGCTCCCCCCTCGGGAAGTCCCACTCTGCTTTCTGATGTCTGCTGCACATGAGTCTTCCGGCCAGCACCCCTACATCTCTGCCCCAGTCCTCCTCAGTGGCTCTTCCTGATGTCACCCCAGTGGTCACTCTGCCAGGAAGGACCGCCAACCGCTCAGGCTCGTGGCAATGTGAACTCCTCCCGCAGCACAGGACCCTCATGCATCTTGGGTTGCTACTCCGCACCAGACGCTTCTTTGTGCTCCATCCTCCCTGGCCTGGTCCTCATCTCGGTGGGTCCCTTGAACCTGGGGTCTGGGCTCCAGTCTCCCCGGAGGCTCTCTGCACAAGAAGGGCTTTGATTTTGCAACAACAGTGTCATCATCCCACCCAGGCCTGTGTCTGCCCTGCCTGCCCACCATGGGACCTGCCTGAGTGGGCAGAGAACAGCCCTCAGCAATCAGAACCCCACTGCAGCTGCAATGTCTCCAACCAGCCCTCACAGCCCCTCAGGTGGAGTCCACACCTTGGGGGCCCCCAGGGACCAAGGTGACATCTGCCACTGCAATTCAGCAACCCCAATTGTTCTGACACTACTGAGGAGGCCAGACACAGCAAAAGCAGCATTCTCTTCCACAGGCCAAAGCTTACATGGTATAGATCTAAGGCTATTTATTTGCCAGGTTTCAGGTCAGTATCTCTAGCCTGAATGTATCTCTATTTGACCACTCAGGCAATTACTGTATCCATTTGATTAGTATGCATATTAGCCTTGGAGTTTTAGCTTTTACAAGGGTATCAGAATACTTCTGACTAGGTGGATGGATAGACAGATGAGTCAACAGACCACCAGCTGTCCCCAGCTGCCTACCCCATTCCTAGAGCCTCAAGCCCAGCTGTTAGGCCACAATTTCTGCCCTGCCTCCTTTTGTAAATAAACTTTTATTGGCCCACAGCCTCACTCATTCATTTGCTAGTGTAAATGGTTGGTTGTCACTTCAAAGACAGAGCTGTGAAAGCGGCTTTGCAGAGGCTCAACAGTCACCCTCTGAAGGGTCACAGAAGCTCACTGACCCTGCTCCAGGTTTCCAAACCTCACATGGAGAAGCCCTGGGCTTCCTCAAGGCTGCATCTGGATGTCCCATGAGCGTCCCACTTGGCTTGCCTGTCCCCTTGTCAAGGTCATTCTTGGCCTGAGCTGACCGTATGAGCACTGGGCTTGTGCAGCCCGGCAATGGCGGCCAGTGACAAGGGTGGGAGGGACACAGGCTGCATTCAGACAGGCTGGGGTCTGAGTTCCAGCACTGCTCTCTCCTAGTTATGGGGCGTAGGGCACCCTTGCTCCAGCTCGGAGCCCCTCCTACATCGTGAGGAGGTGGGGGTGGTTTCGTCGGGATAAATGATGCCCCTGCACCCGCAAAGGCATGTGCTGAGGCGCTCGGCCCCGCTGCGGCCTCACTGCACCTCAAGGCCTTGTGTGGCCCTGGTGCCTGCACTCACATCCGGCTTCTCAGCCTCAGGTATGAGGTCCTCTCCCCACTCCGCCCTCCCTCCCACCTCTTCTGCCACCCCATCTCCCTTCTCGCCTCTCCTTGGACACTGGCACGTGGCACCTCTGCTGTCCCCAGAAGGGCACAATCAAGCTTCCCATGCACGTCCGCTCCCCCCTCTGACCACTATGGAAACCCTACCATCCTTCAGCCTGGAGGCCACCTCCTCCAGGTTGCCTTCCCTGGTCTCCAGCAAGCACATGTGACAGACATTCAGCAAGTACGTGTTCAGTGGACGGGTAGGGACAGAATGAGCTGCTCCTTCCTCCCACTCCCAAGGCCACAGGTAAACCCACATCGCCTACTCCAGGCACAGATTTCACCCCACTGCCCCACTAGCGGGGGCGTGAAGCCCCTCCCACCCAGCTGAATGGGCCGCTGAGCTTCTAAGACTGGAGCCAGAGCCCAAATTCCCAGCTGTCCTTTGGAAGAAAGTCAGGACAAGTCAGACCCCATCGATGGTGACATTACAATGACAAAAATCAAGCCCCACTGATTGATCAATGGCTGCAAGTGCCTGGAGAAGCCACCCTGGCCTCCTGGCTTCAGTTTTTTGCATTAGAACTAATTTTTCAACTGAATCTGCACAAATGTCAGTTAATAGAATTTTTTAAAACCCAGATCTGTCCTGGTACAAGCAGAGTCCTGGCCTGTGAGGCACCTCCCCAAAATCCCAGGGTGCGGGGCGACTCCACAGCTCGGCGTGCAGGGCCCCAAGGCAGAGAAAGCCCTAGAAGCTCCGGGAGCTGTCCTGCTCTCCCCAGTGTCCACGGTCCCTCTGCACTTCCGGCCAGTCCTTGGCCTCCGAGCCGGGGCCCAGCAACTATTCTTTCCTGGGCGGGATCTGACACACCTCCATCCTGTTCAGGAGGCGGAGAATCGAGCCCAGCGCTATTCTCAGTGCGAAACAGGAGCCAGGGCTGGGTCTCAGCAGCACAGGCGTGGCCTCTGGTCATGATTCCGGGCCAAGGGAGGGAACAGGAGCTTCCAGAAAGGAGCCTTCCCCTTCTCCCTCGGCCTTAGCGCCCAGGACCCCTCCTTGGACCTTGGAAATTCCCTTGGGCCGCCCAGCATTGCCCTAAGATACCCACACTCTTGTTATGAGACTGGTTTCCCCGCCCCGCTAGCGTCCGGCACAGGGTGTGCAGCGCCCTGACCACCTGCAGCCTGAGAATCCGCGTGGCGCAGCGCCCCCTGCCGGCCAAGCGCAAGCACTCACCGGGGTGGGGGCATTCACCACCGAAAGGTTGTACCCATACAGGAACGAAGAGCCAAAGGCACCCACCAGCGAGGCCGCCAGCAGCCAGCAGGACCAGTCCTGGGGAGGGAGAGGAGCGACGTCAGAAAGGGCCTGCCAAAGCCTGGACTGTGCCCTAGCTGGGGAGTGGGTGCTTGACCATGCCCACGGGAGATGGAGACAGGATGCACTTGGGCCAGGCAGAGGATTTGCATCCAGGTCCCGCCAGGCAGCAGGAGGACCCCCGCACACACCTGCTATGGGGGTGGGGGCTGTGAGCAGCCTCACACCGAGACTTTAGACCGACACACTGCAAGGCTTTCTGAGTATCCTCTCTTCAATCCCTGGAACTGTCCTGGCCCTAGTCCCCCAGGGAGGACAGGGGACACAGGGCTGACCTTCATGCTGCCCAGGGTGGGCCTGCAGCCCCGGTGGTCACAGCTGCCTGGCACTGCCCCCAGCTGTATGCCTACCAGAGGCCTGAGATAGCCCACATCACACAGAAACGCGCGCACACGCAAGCTACACACACACTTCTGCATGCACACACACTTGGGCCATGTCTGCACGTTTTTCCTGGCTGAGGCATCACCTACAGGCCAGTCTGAGCTCCTCAGAGTAACGACCTGCAGACAGACACAGACTTACCTGAGAGCAACCTCTGCTCCGTTGTGCCCCTGCCTGGCCCCATCCACCCCAAGTGTGCCATGGCCAGCATGGAGCAGGAACACCTGGACCCCATGGTCCCCCTGCTGGCCTGCTGGCACAAGCAGGCTGCACAAGAGGCTGACATTCTAGGCTGGCCAGGGGTACATGGGGGGGGGGGGAAGACCAGGTGCCCCAGAGGGTAAAATCAGTCAGCACAGGGCTGCTGGCAAGCGATGCTGAAAGTCAGTCCTTTGCCAGCCGATCTCCTCCAGCAGCCTCCATGGCCAGAGGGCTCCATCCGTGGCTGTGGGACCTGCGTGAGTGACCTTTCTGAGCCATGGAGCTCTTCCCAAGGGCACCACTGCCTACAGTGCTGAGGCCTGGCCTGTAGGCTGCCGAAAGCCACCAGTGTGCAGAGTGGTGTTTCTGCCTTTCTCTCCTCCCTGGGATCCAGCTGTGCCCAGGTAGCCATCCAAGGCCTCTCTCCCTGTCCCCCAAGTCTCCTCCTCCAGACTTTCTTGTGCCCCAGACCCTCTGCCATCAGGTCCCTGCTCCATTACTCAGGACTGTGGAACCTCTGGCTGGTTATGTGGCTGCTCTGCTTCAGTTTCCTCATCCACCTTATAAAGGGTTATGCCCCCGAAGGGAGATAAGGGAGGCTGGCGGCGAAGACGGCCTGGCAGGAGACGGGGTGATCCTGAGAGCTGCCAAGCAGCGAAGCGGGACAGTGTGAGGGCCTCCTGAGGGCGGGGCGTGCCTCTCAATCTTCCTTTCTGGCATCGAACCTGGAGAGGGTATCGAGGGCCTGGAGAGGGCTCCTGGCCAGAGGCTGGCATTGCCAAGAGAAAGGGGCGCAGGCAGTGAGTGTCCTGCAGAGCGGAGAACTTCACGGAGCAGGATTCATGAATGGAACCGAGTCACGCGGACACGGTCTCCAGCACTGTTGCTCTTTAAGATCCTCCTGAGGCCCTGGCCCACAGGACACCTCCTCCAGCCACGGGGCAGCAGCTGAGCTCTCCGCCCACACTGCCTGGCTCCCTGCCCTGATCACCACGGAGCATAGGATGGGAGCTCTGTATGTGTGCCAGGGGCTTGCCAGGGGCTTGCCAGGGCCCTGCCAAGGGAGACAGCAGGTGGGCACCGCCTCCTCCTGCCTCAGCCACTTTCCTGAGAGCCCACTTCCTCCTCCCCTGCAGCTGGAGAGAGTGTGACAGTGGCTGCCACCGCTGTGCTCCGGGAGGGAAGCAAGGGTCATGGGCAGGAGCCCAGCCTTCTCTGCGGGGGCTTCACTGCCTGCCCTAGGCCTGCTGCCAGAATGCTGCTGGCCCAGCAGGAAAACGCTGGGCACGTGACTTAAACGCAGGCCTCTCTGGACCAAAGCCAGAGGCCCTTCAGCCACAGGGCTGCATCGGAGGTGGCTGTCTCTCATGGGCCACCCACACCAGGACTCCCACATCGGACCCAGAGGCCACTGATTACCTTTCTCCTCCTCCCACCCTGCACCCCGCTGCTCCAGCTGGGGCCTTGACAGAGGGGCTGCTCCCTTCCTGGTCTGAGGCAGCTGGTGTCAGATGGCAGGAGAGCAAAGCTCAGGTCCTTAGAATCCATGCTGGGTTCGTCCAGCTGCTCTGGATGGCCAGGCAGGAACCCTGGACTCCGCTAGTGCATCTCCCGGAGCGAGAGGCCCGCGCCCTGGACCAGGGGGGTGGGGGGCGGGAGTGCCCGCACAGGAAGTGTGGTAACTTTTTTGAACAGGAAGCACCAGCGTTTTCTTCCCTGCCCCTAAGTCAGCACGGTAGCAGAAGAGTCAGAAAGAAAAACACGTTGCCATGAGTAACGCCCTGTGCAGACTTTTCACTTGTTCTCTCTTCACTTTTCTAGCCTATGGAGGCCGGTGTTCTTCCTGGAGGCGTAGCCCAGGCCGGGTTTCTGTTGACTCAGCAGAAGGGAGAGGTCTCTGGCTTTGCCTCCTAGCCTGAGGGGCTGGGTGAAGCCTGCACTTTTTAACTATGTGTCCTCGGGCAAGTCATGCGGCTTCTCTGAGCTTCTATTTGAGCAGAGCCAAATAGGATATTGATCTCTTCCTTGTTCTGCAGAGTTATCCTGAGGCTCAGAGATATGCAGCCTGGAGCACAGCGCAGGGGAGAGGTCAGTGTGGCCTGGACCCAAATGCAGCAGCTGGGGCTTAGGAGGAGGGGAGTCATCTCTGGATCATGCCTGGGTCCTGTTTCTGCAGTGCTGGCCGAGGGAGGGCGATCTGCTTTGTGCTGGCCCAGGGTGGCTCGGGCCCTCCCATCCACCTGGTACATGGGATTAGTTCACCGCAAGGCTGATTTGCTGTGAGTGCTGGAGAAGTGCCCATGTGACAGGAGGGGCAGGCCTGCCTGGGCTTCTGCTCCCTGGGTGGGGCCAGCGGTGTGCTGGGTCTGTGCACAAGGCTTAGGAGGGGAGGCAGGGCTCAAGGTCAAAGCTTAGAGGCAGGGGCGCCAGCAAAGGGACCGCACACGTTGAAACAGAGCCGGGCCACAGCTTGGGTGTGGGTCCTGCAGGTGAAGGGTCCAGCCCTGGGCTGCACAGTGGGCGTAGGGGCGGGGCACAGGCAGCTCAGAGCAGGGACCTCGCTTCCCACAAGAAAGCCTGTGTCAGAGGTCAGGCCCGGCCCAGGCATGGACAGGGCTCTCTGCCTCCTGTCCTGGTAGTTGGGTGTGGCTCTGGGAGGGCTGGCTGATTCCTTAGGCTTAGTATGGCTTGCAGTCCACCTCGAGGTTCATGTGGGCAAATCGGTATTTCCATGGCATCCTGGTCACTTTTCCTCGCCTGTCCCCCTTGGCTTTGCCCTCTCCCTCTCTCCCCTTCCTGTCTCCACAGTCTGCCTCCTGTTTCCTGTCCTCTCTCTTTTATTTCACTCTTGAAGTTATTTGTATTCTGGGTTTCTTATTAGACAGACCATGCAGGATTTAGCCTTCTGTGTCTGATTTGTTGGTAACGTGGCTCCACGTTCTATCCACTCACCCATAAATGACTGACACTTTCCACCTTTATATAAGGCTGAGTAATACTCGTCAGTGTATAAATGCCACATGATCTTGATCCATTCATCTGCCCGTGGGCGTTAGGGCTGCTTCTAAGACTTAGCTATTGTAAGCTTTGCTTCTATAAACACGGATACACGTGTCACTGTAACATGACGACTCTAACTGTTCTAAGAACGTATCTAGAAGAGGTTTAGTTGGGCAAAATGGAATTTGTAGTTTCAGTTGTTTAAGAAATCTCCACGCTGATTTCCAGAGCCATGTACCAGTTCACATTTCTATCAGAAGTGTGGATGGTGCCTTTCTCAGGCAGCCTTGGCAGCCTCGGTCTCGCTGTTTGTTGGTTTTCAACCACTGGGCTGCCTGCCCCTCTTCTGAGCTGTGCCCCATGGGAAACTCTGAGCTAACGTGACTGCCAGGGCGAGGGTGGGCGTTTCTCTGGGGCAGTGTGGAAGAGGCATGGTACCAACCTCACTGCAAAAGATGGTTCAAAGGGCAGTTGCAGTGTTGTGGGAAGCTAAATCAGATAGAAATATCCTAGGCAGTCAGACAGGGCCAGGCCCTCAAGGAGACAGCGCGGAAGAGAGGATACTTTGCAACTGAGAGAGAGACAGATGTTCCTGCTGTTGGCCAGACCTAAAAACCAATGATCAAACAAATGCTGACCTCTCTAAAGATAAGCATCTGGGATTGGCCATTACCTTGAGGAAGCCAGGAAGAGTCACTAATCCAACTGCTACTGGCTGCCCCACAAGCTCCTGTTCTATATTCATGCCTGCTTGATTCATGACTCGCTTCCCCATTTGGCCCTGGATTTAATCAACTTTACCTGAGCAGTGGTGCTTGGAACATTATTGGTTAACCATAGTTGTGCACCACCTCATGCCCACCTAACCAAGTCCCCATGTTCTCCACCTTAGACCCACCTCACCATATGGTTTTACTCTATAAAAGTCCCTGGAAGAGATGGCTTCGTGGGCACAACCTACTGAGGGCCCCCTTTCTGTCCTTCTTTTGGATAGGAGCTTTCTTTCCCCTACAAATATATTCTGTTCTTAACCTCCATTTGTTCTTAAAATTCATTCTTGGGGAGACGACCTGGGGCCCCACAGATCCTGAATAGACCCAGAGCCCAGGCCCCACGAGTGAGTGAGATGACCCGGGGCTGCGGATCCTGAATTGACCCGAGCCCAGGCCTGGTGTGTGAATGAGACTGCCCAGGGCCCGCGAATCCTCATTTGACCCAGAGTGCAGGCCCAGTGTGGAACCTTTCAGCAGAACTCCCTACAAAGAGGCTAGAGGCAAAACCCACCCAGCTGATTCAGGAGCAGAACATCTTCCCAGAGTGACACAAAGGGTTCAACTCTAATGGCTGCAGCAGAAAGAAGTGGAGCACAGCAG